TGCCTGCTGTGTTAGGAATGTTTAAAATATTGGCTATTTGAACATTCTAATGCAATTGATTTGATTGGAATGGATTGAAATCTATTTGATTTACTACAAATCAAATACTGCAATGCAGTTTTGCGCTATCATTCATTTGATGGTATAGAATTTGAAATAAACATATTCACAAGTGCATGTGTATTTAAAATACACATTGGGGAAATAGATTTTCAAGCTGATTTTCAAAACTTGCAGATGAATATAGAACAGGATGGAATTATGAATGAAGGCTTATAAGAATGACATAGACTAAAATGTCTGATTCAGCACATTTCAGTGCTGGGCAAAAGAATTAGCAAGACTTGTCTGAAGCCACTTTCCTGAACAGAAGCTTCATTCTCACACTTGACTTCTGTTCAGTTTTTACTAACTTTTCCTGTTACATTTTCCCACGCCACATTACTTGGGTCTTTTACAACCTTCACAAAAGTGATTGCTGGCACTTCATTGAAAAGCAAGAACAGGAAAGTTCTGTTGCATAGTCCATTGTCAAAATGATGATCTATCTGGGTTTAGCCTTGGTCATCTTGTAGGCTGTGCTGCATCTTTTCTAACTAACAAAGTTTGTTAATTTAAATCCTACATTTTTGGCTTCATGGATCTTCACTTAATGGTCCCGCAGTGTTAAGTCTTATTCCATAGACTGTAAAAAATGTTTATGATAATACTAGATAGTTATTCAAAAGCGTACTGTATTTTCATATGTACATTATATTTCTCATCTCCCTTGGGGCCAGACATGTCTAGGCTGGTGCTTGATCATAGTTAAGCTTGATGAAGGCTAACGCTCATTTCAGATAAGACTCTACAGGAGGGCAGCAGTGTTAGTCTATGGTGGCAAAAAGTGAGGAATCTAGTAGCACCTTTTCTGACTAACAAAGTTTGTTAATTTAAATCCTACATCTATCTAGCCAATCTATGCATCTGATTAAATGAGTTGTAGCTCATGAAAACCTATGTCTTTTAATAAAATGTGCTTGTCAGAAAAGATGTTACCAGACTCCTGATTTCAAGCTAAGGCAGAATCAGTAGATTTAGAGTCTGGATTAATGGAATTCAACCTGTTTTATATGTCCAAGGCTTCCTCTGAATGATTAGATTCACAGCTTGCTGGTGTTCCAGAATAATTCCATCTGCACCAATGTATTTGGTTGTACATGGGCTCCCTTTGGAGACAATCAAAAATGCAGTTGGCACAAAATATGCTAATAGAAGTTTCAGTTGAGAAATTATGCTAGTTCTCTTTCAGCTGCACCAGCTCCAAGTTAATTTCCAAGTCTATTCGAAGCATTGATCTTGAGTAATTTGTACCAATGGAACACCTTTATCCATAAGTGCCCACAAGTTCCCTAAGACAGGTATGCTAGTCATCTGCTGAGTGTTGCTTCACTCTGAATCTCAAGTGAACACAATCTATTATGTAGAAGCTCTTCTCTTTTGTGCTCTCATGAAACACTTTCCCAAGTGTTATTAATCTGATGCAGAGTTCCGGGTACTCCAACAAATGTATTATTTGGTCCCTTTGATCTTGCCTAATAAATGTATTGCCCTAATGTAGATTCTAAAAATGTTTAAAGTTGCTTAGATGATACAACCTGTGTGTCCTTGCTTGCTTGGATTTTTGCTACAAGTACACACCCTAAGACTCTAGATACTAGCTGTGTTAACTAAGATAGTACTTTTTGTTTGGATATAGTTAGATTTACCTTTTTTCTCAAAGTATCATCTGTCATGAATGTACTACACAGTAAAGAATTGACTTAATTTCAGCTTGTTAATTCATATGAAGACTATTCAAGTACATGGAGTACTTTCCTAATAACAACTGTTTCTATTTAACTAATGAATAGAAGCAACCATTTATAGTTGGATTGTGAAATCTTAAAAGAGGGGACTGGTCTGTATGATCAGAAAACTGTCTTCCCTCAGCTGTTTTTCACAGTGAGAGCATTACCATCAGTAATGAATATTTGATCATTATTGTGTTGGCTTCTTTCAAAATTATGTCATCTATATGAAAACAAATAATAATATACTGGAGTTCTTCAGTATGATTATATGCAGTCAAGCAAATGATAACAATTCTAAAACAAGCAGAATTTTTTTTTCAACTTAGATTTATTACTTTGGGAGGAAAGGTCAAATTCCCAGCAAGTCAGTACTATGCTGGCTTTCGTCAGTGGGTCCTAATGCACTTGTAGCTTGAGCTGCTGAGAAGTATCAAGGAAAAAACTGACGAAAAAACTGAGGATTATTCAGTTTCTTATTAGCATTAGTATTGCTAGAACTTGCCAGAATTACTTACTTATGAAGAAAAATATTACTCTATATATTTATTTCTAAGACTAATTTCTCCTTTTACCAAATAGCTTTTAAGATGTCATACAACAGTGGAATCAAGAAAATCAATAAAAATCAAATAAATATCACACAAAATAGTCAATTAAAAATAATTTAAAGTAGTATTGAAATAAAAGTAGCAGAAGTGAACACAAACTTCAAGAGAAAATCAAAATCATGTCATAGAAATAAAATTACTTTGAAACATAACATAGGAACCATAATTATCAACGGACAAAGAGACATGGAAAAATAAAAAGTCTTTGCCAGGCTCCCAAAAGATAACAAAGTAGACATCAGCCCAATCTTTCTAGAGAAGGGATAATGGGAGATGGAGCTTCTATTAAAAAGATGACTCTCAAGTAAACTCTATTCATGATAAGTGAAGGGACCCAAGACATCAGGCTTATTCAGAAAGATTAGGGAGAAAACTGAGCAGAAGCAAAATATTTCAACATGGACTGAATTTCAGTGTGATCCTCCAAAAACTTTCTTTTACTAATGCACGTGCTACAAGATACAACAGGACCAGGAAAGTTGAAGGGGAGGGAAAGAAGGAATAGAGAATTGTTTTATGATAGAAAGCTTTAGTTTCACGTCACAATAATTTTTATCTCTCAATCACTCCAGGATGAATGTTGGAATAATACATTGCAATACTTTTCTAAAATGCAATGTTTTTTGTTAGCTTTTGGCCCCAAATGTTGAAACATTAAAATAATTTTATGGCACCTGTGGTATTGGGGAGGATGTAAGATTAGGCATTTGCTTGGGAAATGCTGGGTGTTCCTATCCATCTCCTCACCTGGATTTCCCAACACAGTAGCCATGGTTACTTCCCTCACAACTCTTTTGAGAATTAGAAAGCAGTGTGCTAGGCCAACTGTAATATACAACTTCCTCTCAGTGTTCCACCAACTAAAAAAAGTTTGAGATCCCTTCTATAGGGCTTATATATAGGGATATCAAAGTATATCTTATAAGTTTATTGCAATTGAGCAGAAAACAAAACAAAATAAAATCCTAGTCCTTCTCATTCTGCCAAAGAGGGGAAAATATATCACTGGTTGATCACTAATTATAGGTAATTAAAAGTATAAAGAGTTTCTGAATCCAAATCCTATTTAGGCATAGTGTCAAAAGTGAGCCTTTGAATAATGTGAGATGAATTAATTGTTTTTTGAAATAATGCATATCATAAAACTCTAATACATTCTTTTGGCAAAGATTTTGCTGCTTGAAACATGAGAGGACCAGTGCTGTGAGTATACCCTGGGGCATTGTGTAGTCTGTCTTAGGTCACTTATCTCCTATGCTTCTAGCACATATTTCCACTATGTTTCTACATGGCAGGATGACTGTGGACTTTAGTAGTACCATCTAGACAATAGCATCAGTATTCAAAGACCTAGCCCCATTCTCCATGCTTTAACAGTGCAAGCTTCTATTCTCTGGTTGTTGCTCTGCAACTTTATTCCTTTTTTTTTTAACTAGATAACTACTGCTTCTTAATTTTCTTATCCTGTTTACTGTTCTACAGTCTTAGTTACATACATGTCTCTGTATTCTGATTTTTTGCCCCTCCTCTGTATCATAACATCCTTCTCTTGGGAACCACATCCCTTTGACCTTTTTGGTGACAGCAGATCCCTTTTTAGGTCCTAGATATTGATGACCCTAAAGAAGCTGCATAGTATTATTTGGAAAATTCACCTCAGCCTAGGTCACCAATAGACTTCTGTAACTGCAAATTAAATGGAAGATATAGGAAAGGGTTACTGGAAACTATTTTATATTTTACTCTGTAATTTTGTTTAAAAAAATACATAGTTGCAGTCACAAAGTGATATTATGATGCAAAATTTGGGGGCATTGTTTCATGGTCCCATGAAATCAAAGCCATATTGCACTTGAATAAAAATGAAGGCCCTTAACTCCAGAGTCAAACAGCTACCAAACTGAATTATTGCTGGCATGCCATTAGAGAAGTGTGAACATGCAGAAGTATCCCATACAGATAGAATAGCCAAACTTCTTAGGAATCTAATGGCATATGACAAAGTTCATTTTGGGGGTATATTGGTTTTGAAATATTTTGAGAAGAATTATGGCTGGTTCATCCTGCTCCATAGTAGTTTTTTCACAAGACAACATGGGCAACATTTAGTGTCTTTTGGTTTTTTACACATAAAAAGTTGGAATTCTTTTTCCTGATTGTGGCTGCTAAAAAGATGCAGGAATAACCACCAGCCAATAAAATTGCAGACTGGCCTTTTCATAAAATCAGATTTTTTTATCCAGAAACTACTCATACCAAAATTGTCTGTGGAGTGATTAACTGATCACTCCTATTCGTTCATTTATTTACAAATCAGTTTATAAAAGCTGGTATAAAAATATGGTTTCAAAAGGACATTGATTATATCAAACACATCTGATTCACATCATGTACATTCCAAAAAAGTTTTTTTAAAGGAGTCAAGATCATGCACGCATACTAATTTTTGCATATAGAATTATATAATATTGGCCCACTGGGAATCAAACCCAAGTTTTGATAAAGAGAGAGGGGGAAAAAAAAAAACACTTTCAGAAATATGACAATTTTGGGTTTTTTATTTAAATGTATGTTCTCACACAAAATTATCTTTATTTTTGTATTTCCACAGGAATAGTGTAATACTTATCACAATCCATAATATAGCTATAATGATATGAAAAAGTAAATTTACTTGTTATGACATATATGTCAGACAATGAACTGTAATTTCAGGCAAACATACCACAAAGGTGAGTAAAATATAGAAGAAAAAATTGTTGTTTTATTTTACAAATACATTAATTGCTGATTCCAGATAATAACAATATCATGTTACAAGTTAGAAAGTCGACCTTCCAATTTTTTAGATATTAGCTATTTTCAGATGGAATGTGAAGCTATGATTTAACAATGGGTAAATGAGTCTAGGTCTTGCGCAGTCATCAAATTATGTCTCTCATTATTGGGCATAAGATGACTCCTCATTGCTTTCTTACAAATGAACAAGAGTAAGAGATGAAGAAGCATTTACTTCCATTTTAATCATAATACATAAATTATTAATTTTAACGTGGTTTGTAAAAAAAGGCAATTTAAAGTAATAAACATTTCCAGCTTGTTCAGATAAATCAGACTAATTTCAGTTACCAATTCAGAGTGATCAACTGTAGCTAGCTGAAAGTGGAAGAAAATGCATCTCCTGTCCTCCTTGTAGCTATGCTAGATCTGGAGACCACAGGGAGAAGCAGGACCAGGTATGGAATACTAAACTATGATTTAATCAAGCTTTCCCTAAGTGATTCTCTTCAGATTTGCAGACCTATCTCTTCTATAGTCCCCAAGTTGCATGGGTAATGGGAACCACCATGCAACACATATGAAGCCAACCAGATTAGAAAGGATGATTTAGGGTTACCTCTCTAATATTATAAATAGCGGAGTACAATATCTCACTAGTAAATTTCCACTAGCATAACATAGCTTTCCCCTCTTTCCCTTCCTGCACTTCCTGGCATGCTCTCTAAATCTTCTCCAATAGGATAGGAGAGCATGGAGGGAGGGTTTAGAGGAAGGATTAGTCCACCACTTCTTCAACTAAAAACTCATCCTACAAAGGGAACCATAGCATTTCATTCCATCCAGAAAGAAAAAACAGTGAGATCGACCTTTTTGCAGCAGCAACAGCAACAATTATGTAATGTATTTGAATGCTAACATTTACGTTGTATTAGTGTGCTATTCAAGCTTGCTTATACAGCAGCAAACTATTGTTTTTCCAAAGTGTGCACATATGGAACCAAGTCATTCAGAGCTTCCAGATGCCTGGACTTCTGTGATATACGTTATTTACAAATCTGTATCTATTAGATTCACGAGTTACTTTTTAAAGTGAAAATTCATATATTTTGATACACTACTTTAAAAACAGTTCAGACTTCATGAGTAAGATAGTTTAGATTCCTGTGTGTCAAAGAACATGCTGGAAAGCTATTTGCGTAGGTTCCTTGGTGCAGTATTTATACAGCATTTTCTATCTGTGGTGAGATATATGGTGGTTTGATTTCTTGGCAACTTGCTTAATGAATTTTTGTTTCTATTTTTGACTTTTAATCATGTTCTGAATTCAGTGCACATTCATTCTTTTTAAATGATTATTTTAAATTATCATTGTAGAGGGGTATTTAAGGTCATTGCAACCAAGATTCTTATCGTTTTTGTATAATACGTGTTGAAATGACCATCAGTAATGTCCACTGTCCTCAAACCATTGGTTTATAACCATATCAATCAGTGTTTTAAACAACAGACTAATGTCAGAATTTTAGCCCACTATGGTAGATCAGCTCTGCTTTGTTGTTAAACTATCTAAATTTCATTAAACTGATTTGGATTAACTGGAATTTACAAGATAATTGATTGATAAAGTAATGTAGCACCTTAGATATATAGTATAGCACCGGCAATATTTTGGTTAGCTTCATAGTTAAATAGGTTTGACAGTATACATTATTACAAGATAGAAGAAGCTAAACTGAGAGACTACACTATAGTGAATTACATGGGATCCAAATCTTCTGGCAAAGAATAACACTTCAGCTATTAAAACTAACTTGCTTGAACTCTGTATCACCAACTTCAAGAAATCTGAATTAATTGTATAAGATTAATGACTAACTGGTTACTTCTCAGTCTAACTGGCATAAGTCTGAGTATGAATCAGAAGCAAAAGGTATATTTTATTTGCTCATAGGTAATAACTTTATTAATGCAGTCATCTTCAGAAAAGAAAGCAGTATTAAGATAGCTTACTTTCTGTAATATACTGATACTAAAAACAGACTGAATATAAGGGAAATCCACTGAATCTATCGATCTACTTTAAATAAAACTGTCTAGATCCAACCCAATAAGTTATTAAAGTCCACTGACAAGTTGGAAAATAAATGAGTCAATGACAAGATTGATTCATCTAATTAACACAATTAGAAAAAAGAGAATAAGATTAAGAATAAGCTTGAGAATATTGGTAACAATTTTATTCCTTTTTTAATCTAAATCAGTATTTATTTATATTTCATTTAAAATCTCTTTGGCAGCCTTCAGAATTTCCCAGTGTTTATGTGATTGGCTGCAGGTTGTTTTGGGAAAGGATCTGGAGTGTTTTGTTTTAGATATGGTTTCTACCAATTCATGTCCAAACATTTTATATCTAACAATATTTGCTTTAAAATGATAGAATCTTAAGAGATGTTAAGCTTTTCCCTGTCACAAAAATAGACTTTATGGAGCATATCTGTTAATCATGAAAATAAAGCATTTAAAGAAAGAAAATATGTCTATCACTCCCTTATATAGTCAGCACTGAATACCTGAAAAATTAGCACCAAAAATGTGCAAAGTAAATGATTCAGTTAATATTGCATTAAAAATCTGCAGGAGTCTGATAATTTATACTTTAGACATTTCCATAGGTGTTTTTTTTTTGCATTTCTCTATTATTTGAAAAATCAACAGAATGTTACATTGTTTGAAATCTTGTAAATATTTGAAAAAGAAAGTTAAATCCTAAAAAACAGGGTTTTTTTCTTAAATTACAAAAAGTAAGACATGTCTATATTAGTCAAGAAGCTGGGAAAATTGCTGACCTGAATTCAATGAAATAAAAATATTGAGAAAATAGCAGTTCCACTAGAATCAGAGAATGGGCCATGGAGCCAGTCACAAATTTCTCCTCTTTTTTGAAATAACAGTAATTTTCCTGTAAAAATATGGCCAAATTTATGCTTTCCAATTTAGGACTCTGTATATTTGCTGACAAAATAGTGACTGGGTGGTTGGTGGTTCAGATATCTGCTATATGATTGTCCAAGCCCACAGTATTTATTATTTATTTTTTGTTAGCACAGATACATAGACTCATGCTGAGCTAGTCAATCAAGCACCCGTTGATACTACTGGCTATGTAGGAAAATGAGCATTTCTCAGCATACCTTTTATATAAACCAGTGGTTTTCAAACTTTCTACACTCAAGGAATATTTTCCACATCAATTTGTTTAGCAAGGAACTCATATGTGTCTGCCAGGCAACATACACATCTGTCAAAAGGTGATAAACATGGGTCATCATCCAGACATGCTAGATTTTGCCACTGCCACACACTAGATCTGTGTACCTTAGAATATAACTAATGTCTTTTTTACAGCACAGATGAAGACCAGTAATAGTTGACAGTAGTCAAATTCCTTCCTGAAATGCTTGTCTGTCATTACTGATTTTTTTTTCACTGAGAAATCCTAGACTTCCTGGAAATACAGTTTAACCATCATTGGCAGAAATCAATATAGCTGATAAGTATTACATGAGTTATGGTTAACGGAACAATTTAATAACACACGTTATATAATTAAGATAGGAAAGTCAGTTCCTCAACCTGAAAGTCTTCCAGGTCTATGAAGAAAGTTCCTACTGCCTGTTTTAAGAAGCTGCTCTTCTGAAATAGCTTACGTTGCATTTGTTTCAATTAACAGTGTATTTATAACGGATCGGTAGGTCAATCATAGTTTCTCTGAAAACAATGGGAAAAATGGCCATTGTTTTCAACAGAGCCAGGGTTTTGCCCCAGATTAGCACCATTTTTGCATATTGTAAAAAGTCCTGTGCACCAAGTTTGATAGAAAAGTTTCATGCTCTGAGTCATTAAAAGATAATATTCCATGGAATCAGGTTATCTATATAAATGTAGAAGAATAATTAGCAATAATATATATGCATGTATATTCTTTGTAATAGTTTCAGCTGCAATACAGAATCATGTATTTACAATTGCTTGTTCTGTTCAGAAAGCATACTATACTGCTTCTGAAAGTGATTACACTTTTAATGTAACACCTTTTTTAAAAAAAAAATTTAACATATAGCATTTTCATTTGCTCACCACTCCTTCTAGTGCCTATAAAGGGCTATAACATATTCCACAAACTAAAATCATACTGGATTCAGAAGACGTTTTTCTCTGTGGCAGAATGAGTCTCTTGATACATTGACAGTGATGGGAGATCATCGGGTTATAAGGTTTGCTTGTAACTTTACAGAGCTATTTCTTGACTATCTTCTTGCCACTGAGTTATGGAATATAGTCAGTAGAATACCAGGTACCCCACACAAGTTCAATTCTATAATTGCCATCCAGTAACAATTTTAGCCTTGGGGAAGTTCTTGGTGGCTGTAAACCAAACTATTGTAATATTTTTTCTCCATTGAGAAGCAAGGTCTCAGCCTCCAAATGGATTTTAGCTTATATATGGATAGAAGAGTACATTATTACTACAGTCCGGCCTGTTTTGAATATCCAGGTAATGATAAATCTAATGTTGTTTAAAATATGTCTAACTTTATCAAGACTAAACAATTCATTTTCTGATAATATTGCACATCTTGTAATGACCCTGGAATCCACATTAGCATGGCAGCACCCATCTGCTCCACTGCATCTGCAAAGAATATCATTGATAGGAGTCAAGTAGTCCACAATGGAAAACTCCAGAAAAAGCAGTGGCCTCAAGTATTTCAAACAGAAAAAGGAGTGTATGTGACCATCAGATGATAGCCAAATTGCTCTGACTTTCTCGTCATGGTTAGGACCTTTGTTTAGCTACAACTACATAGCTAAGTATATTTGTGAGAGCACAAAACTAAAGTTAGTCACAGAATTTTGCCACAATTGCACATATATTTTTAAGTAAAAGAAAAAGCTTGGACTTTTCTTACTCACTAGATACCAGAAGAAAGCTATACAAATATACACCATTATAATTTCAGTAATTTTTTCTCCTGCTAAATTTTCTGAAGAACTTTGCGTTCTTTTATAAAATTACACTTGGTTGGAAACTTTTTTCTTCTTTTTATCTTTATTTTTATTTCACCTTCTGATTCGAAATAATGTCACAAAGAAATATCCCATATTGATATTGTTCTACTGGGCCAATTTGGGTTAAACTTTTCATTTTGTATCCAGGATATCTTTTGTTTTCCCATTTTTGTAAAACACACACACAAGTAATGCTCAAAGGATTAGATATAATAAGCTAGTGTTCATTTTGTGCCCAGGCTTATAAATATAAAGTATTTGAAAATACATTCCTAGGTCTCTAAGGGACTAAACTGTAATCACTTTAATTCCCAGTATCAACTGGTTTGATTGCTTGTTTATATTTTCCTTTTCTTTATTTTTTAAGGCACATTGTTAATCTCTACCTATCAGTGGTCATAAAAAGTAATTTTGTCACTTAAACAGAAATAATTGGATATACATTATATCCTTAAAAACTAGTTTTCATATTACTACATAACATTCATAACAATATTAATGAAATCAATACATTATGTATACAATATATGCAAACTTCAATATACAAGATTTTGTTACACATGCATTTCACTGGAACAGCTGTACCATTTATTTAAACCAATATAAGTAGTTTGATGTCACTCCAGGAAAGCAAAGATTATTAGTGCATGATCCTCCATAACTGGGTGGGCAAGCAGAACACGGCACCCCAACTTTATATGGTGCTTCTCCTATCCAGTTTCCCCTAAGGGAAAAAAAAAAAGCAAAGATACAATTAATATGTTGAATATTTCATAGTATTTCTTCATGAAAAACATAAAATGTACTTTTTCCATTTGTTATCTGCATAGCAGACTCTATCATACAATTGCCCTTAGTGCAGAATCTTTATCCCAAGATGTTGAATTCATTTAGATTTTTAGCCCCAGTGCCTGTGGGGACATGATTGGATATTTATTTATTTATTTATTTATTTACTTACTTATTTATTTATTTATTAAATTTGTATGCCACCCATCTCCCCCAATGGGTGACTCTGGGCGGCTCACAATTAAAAATCAAAAGCCTATAAACAATTAAAATACTCCATAAATAATTAAATACTCAATCCATTAAAATCCACTATAAAACAAACCCTATACATAAGTCCTAAAGACATTCAAGATGACAGGGTGGGGGGAGGGGATAAAACCAAAAAAAATCTCATGAGAGACCAAGTTACATCATTGATAGACTGGGGTCTTCATATACTTTGGAAATATTGCCCTTTTCTATGATTAGCTGATTTAAGATAAATAAAATGCAGAGGTAGTAGATTGTTTATTACCAAATCACATGTTCTTAAAATTCAGTGTTTTTTGCTACCAGCTCTCAAATACATGCCAAACAATTGCTGCTGACAATTCTTTGCCCCTTTCGCTACTGTCATTTAAAAATAAACAATACGAGATTTACCAATAGGGAATTCTTATATTTCTTTGATAGATGGAATGATAACTGCCCTGATTTACATTTATGGAATACCAACATATCCAATGGATAACCTATACCCTTAGAGAAGATAACCTGAATAAGTTAGAAAACTAGATACCACGATGATCTGGTGGCCCAAACAAATGGTTTATATGCTGATGTAATATGCAACAGTAAATGAAATGAAAACAGAGGAACTTACTTTGGGGCATAGTTGCATACCAAATAAATAGCTCGGCTCCAAACTGCCCCCCAGACATTCATATTAGGGCACGTGTGGATTGCACAGCCTATTCTGTTGGAAGTGGCCCAAACCATCTGAAGAAATAGTATGATTTATTTGTTAAAAGTCCAGCTTGAAAAGTAACATACTTATCACACAGACTTAAGCTTTGAACTGAAGCATGGTACAGGAAAACCGAACTCATATCACCTGGGTATAATGTGTGCACATGGGCCCATAGCATCTCATCGGACACCTTGGATTGCAGTCCTGAGGATATGGAAAGGCATAATTTTTCACTTCATCATACCAGGGCTGCACCAGCTGGAGAATGGATCGATATCTGAGCAAAATTAAAGTAAGAAAAATGGATATTTTTGAATGTTCAGTATTACTAATGTGCCTAAGACTTCCATTCCATTCCATTCCATTATTATATATAGACATACATGTTATTTCTTTTTTGCAAATTCCTTCATTCTCATACACTTACAGGATAAAAGATGCTTGAAAATTAGTGGCTTGAAAACAAATATATATGAAATTTAATTACCTTCCAGTCCGTACAGATAAATTTTGTCCCAGAAATCTCAACAAGTAAGAAGGGCCATGGTCCCAAATGCAGGTAGCAGCCCAAGCTTCTGCAGACTTAGCTAGATTATCATCCCACACCTGGCAAAAGACAGATTTTTTATTTATCCTGAACACGGAAAAGGAGGTCAGAAATATCAACTGTATCAAATAAGATAATTATCCAATTATATTATTGAAGACCTGGTGGCAGACCACCCCAAAATTTGGTTAGTCGTTTCTTCTATGTTTCTTTGTCCAGCCTGATGAATTGATCAAACATTATGGAGATGAGTTGGCTGAGCTTCAATCCTAGGCAATTTACTAGAAAGTTACACTTTTGAAAAGATTGTTTATTCAGTTTTATTCCACCCATCCTTCAGGCACACAAGCTGCATACCCCTCTGTATGAAGGCAACTGACTAGTCCAATTCATACCAGAAACATGGATATTGAGTGTTCTGTGCCTCTTCAAGTTTCTCCACATCAGCAACATTAACATCAAATAAACTTAATTCCCAAGAACTAAGAACTCTTTACACTGAGCACAAACTCACAACTTCTGTCTAGTTAACAAGTAGTCCTTCTTCCAGGCATTAGCATAGTATCCCAATGATCCTTGAGTGACTTAAGAAATCCCTAATCAAACATGGATTTTGAAGATTCCGTATTTCTATCAGCCTTGTGAGGTCAGTAATAGCAAAAGGGGACTGGCTACTTGAAGCAACAAGAAGCTTAGAGAAAAACCTATGAGAGCATGGAGGTATTAAGCAGGACAGCAGTGTATCTGTCCTTACTGTTCACCTGAAGATTCCTCAGAGGAAGCAACAGCATGTCTAGTGTAGTTCTTGAAATGAACACTGTCCCTCCTTATGCTTCCCTCTAAAAAGTAGGTATCAGCAGCTGACTGCTCCAGAAAATAGTTTAGTGGGTCAGGATCAGCTGCCTTTGAATTATCATTCTTCCTGATTCAGAGTCCCACCTATGGCAAGCATGTTATAAGAAAGAATTTGTATGGAAACTATTTGGGTTTAAGTTGGTTGGGAAACCCTGCCCCGTCTTCTTTTACTACTGTTCCTATTTTGCATAGGGATAACCAAAATTCAGAAATGGATGTTCACAGCCACGCAATAAATTTTTGTTCATGATGCCACATGTAATTGGATCTCCATCCCCTTTGTTCTATTTGCCAGATTGTAATGGGTCTCATCTGTTCTACTCAGTTTATTGTTTTCTTCATATACAGTAGGTCACTACATTTAATGAACTGAACTCAGCAAAATGTATATTAAGTACTTCCCCAGTAAACATTTTGTAAAAACGTTTAATTTGATTTTAGCCATTGCATGAATTTGCAAATTGCTAGGAAAAATCTATTTTTGGAAATGATTACTAAAGAAAGCTTTAAAGCAAGGCAAGTCAAACTGCAACACTTTAGATAAAATTTAATTTGAGAGCAACAGCCTGGACTTCAGTTATACTTAAACCTATTAATGTGATGTTTAAGTGCATTTAAACTTAATTTAAATGTGGTCAAAGTGTTTCCTCAGGCAGTTTAGACAGGTTTGCAGGAAGAAAAATGAATTAATAATAAATAATGACGAAGAACCATAGCCTGCCTATTAGTTATTTGTGTACCAGATCCCTGGTTTTACTAGCTGAAGTATCACATTAATCAAATTAAGAAATGCGCAGATTATCATACCACTGAAAGGGTCTGCTTATGTCATTGAGTTTAATCCCCTGCCCAGAGCAAGAATCCTAGTTAAAACATCCCAGATAGACAGCTAGAGTCTGCTTCAACCTATCCAGGGAAGAGAGCCAATCTCTTCTTTGGGTAATTGTTTCCATTGTCAGGATTTTTTTTTTCTAATTTGCAGTCAGATTCTACCTTTATGCAATCTGAATTCATTTTTCTATATTCGGCACTGTGAAACAGGACAGGACAGATTGTGACCTTCTGACCGATATCTCTTTAGGTATTTCAAGAGTGCTGTCATATCCTTCCTTAATCTCTGATTGTCAAGGTGAAACATACCCTACTCCTTTGATATCTCTTCATAAAAAACAGAGTTTCTAATCCCCTGATCATCCCTGTTTCCCAACTCTAAATCTATTCCAGTTTCTCAGAATCCTTCTTAAATTGTGATATATACAAGTGGGCACATTTTCACCAATGCATAATAAAAAGGAAAGATTACTTCTTGTGATAGAATCACTATACAGTGGAACCTCGGGTTACGAACGCCTCTGTTAACAAACTTTTCAGGTTACGACCAGCTCCGGCCACAAAAATTTCCCTCGGTTTGCGACCTCTGCCTGGGGGTACGAACAGGATATGCGGCCATTTTCCCTCTCGTGACACGGTCGGCGGCCATTTTTCCGCCCCTGACACATGGTCCGTGGCCATTTTCCGCCCCTGACACATGGTCCGT